CGGAACCAACTTTAAACCTCCGAGAAAAGGATACCGCTGTTTGTTTTCCACTTCTGATGTAACTAACAAGTACAAACTGAAACTGTATTTATATATTAAAAATTGTGTGTGGTTTTTTCCAATACATGGAAATTAAACTTGTTTTAATACGAGTGTTGATCTTCAATTCTTTTTATAACTGTACAATTTCAGACTTTGTTTATATTTATTACAGTAGGGCCTACTTGAGCAACATTTACTTAATTCATTGGCAGAAACATAAAACACTACAAAATTACTTTAAAAAGTTGACAGTTCTAATGTTAATGCATGGAGGGGAATTTGAAAAACGTCTACAAATGATTTTAAGCTTATTTTTAATCTGGTTATAAAATACTTGAACGAAGTTTAGTTATACCTGAATATAGTTATAAACGATCTATAAAAATGTAAGGTGACCATTCAACCTGTTTCGGGGTATAATCAGAAACAAAAGTTATATTTTGGATTAATTTTGACCCCGACTTTTTGGAGCCATTATGAGCTATTTTAGCAATAAAAGCAATATTTACGTATCATGCCAGACATTTAGTGAAAAATGATACATTCTTAGAAAAATACTGCACTGCTGCAACTAACTACTGTTAAGGTACTGTCAAAAATAGTAGATAAAATATAATTTTGTTAATTATAAATTAAAAATCATTATCAAAAATTTTAATTAAAAGATTACTATCTAAATTTTCATGTTTTGTTGAGTCTGAAATGTAATTAAAAAAGAAATTAAATAGAATTTCTTAAATTTTTCAAATACCCAATATGAGTCATTAAGTTTATTCAGTATATGTAATTAAGTCCTACACATAAAACCAATATTCAGCAAGAAACTACAAAAAATCTACAAAAGCAAACATTTTCACCATGTTAAGCTTATCTTTAGGCTAAAAGACCTTTGCAGGTTTTCTTTTATAGTTTCTTGCAGGATGTTAGTTTTATGGGTAGTGCTTAATTACTCAATAAATCATAAAATAGAATATATATATATATAGGGGTGTCCATAAATGACATCCATGCTGGAAGAGAGAGGATTATGACAAGTTGGACAAGGGGAGGGGTTGAACTTTAATGGATGTCTGTTTCATTTCATTAAATTTTATACAGTTTATGAATTTTATTATTCATAAAGTGATAAAGGTTTTCAGGGGGATTGAATTTTGTTGGACATCCAAACAGAAAAATTTTACAGAAACTTGGACAAATTGGACAATGAGGAAGTAAAAATTTCAAGAAAAATGCAGATATAGTTTATAGACAGCCCCTAGTTATATATAATATAAAGTTGGTCAAAAAATCATTTAATGTATTATATTTAACTTTATTAAAAAATGATAAAAATTAAATTTTAATAATAATTTATATTATAAAATTTCTTTACAGTTGCATATAAGATATTATATTAATATCTATTGATGGTTAAAATGATTCATAAATATATAAATATTTATATTTAAATTTCAGTACATCAATAATCCAACTTTATTTACTTTTTAATATATTTATTTGTTTTAGACAAAATAAAATGTTGAGACAAAAATCCTTAAAAAATTTTTCCTAAAGAACTCTCTTATTAAATAAGTATTTAATATTTATTAGTAGTAAAGTTTGCCCAATGTCTTTGATTATTTTTCTAAGAATTATTTCCTAATTCCTATTCTGTTATATTTTAAGAATTAATTTTTTCTATATTCGTTTGTAATTCATTATTTTTATTTTATTTAACACTATATCATATTAAAAGAACTGATATATTAAAATTTATGTTAAACAAANAATTTAGGATGCTCTTTGTATTATCTTTTTAGGAAAAAAAAATTTTTAAATATATTTTAAAATGTACAATGGTTATTCTAAAAATGTTCAGAAAAGACAATACAATTAAGATAAAGCAAAAAAGAAAAAAAAAATAGTGATAATAATAAATAGATAAATCAATCCATACAATCTTTAATTTTACCTTTCCTTACGTCTTAAAACTTGAATTTTTTAATACAATAAAGTTTTTTATCTTTACGTGGATGTCCCGAAACCTTTTTTAAGACGTAAAATAAAGCTTCTTTACAGACATTTCATAATTATTTTTTAATACAAAATTAACCAAAAACAAAAAAAAAAAATTCAAAAAGGATTTTAATCTCGAAATTTTAAAATTAGGAATTGGTTGCAAAATTAAATGATTGTGGAAACTTATTTCGCTGTAAATCCGTTTCAATATAATATTTTTAAATAAGATGTAACAATAAAATGTATGTGTAAATGTAATTATTTTTTATAATATAATTTTTGTTAAATTATTAAATTATAAAATGAAATTAAGTACAAATTGTAATTATATATAATACAAAAATTGTTAAATGATGTGCCGCTTTTGAAATATATTAATATATGTATATATATATATTATTGACGAATTATAATTGCACAATTGTTATACTATTTTAAATTTTAATATTTTCATGTGTAAACAAGATGTTTATATTTTAGAATTTCAAGTAACTGTATTGACAAAGTAATGAAATAATTAATTGAATTGTTTTAATTGTTAAAATAAAAAGTATTGAAAGTAATTTGTTTGCTTTTTCTTTACATAGTTAACCACAGAAATATTAATTAATTAATTATAATGTTGGAGGCTAACCACTGAACCCTAGCTCGCTGGTTCGCTCCGGATTGACTGGTTGTCCGGATTTTCTTTACGTGTACAACACTTGAATAGGGGCCAGTTTCTCAGAAAGATTTCGTCAAGGTGGTAGCCACTAGTGATGTGCCGGATCGTTAAAAATATATCCGCAGATACGGATCATTAGTGTCTATATCCACGGATACGGATCTCAACTTTCGTACTCAATCGGCGCTGGTGCGTGTGACCTTGGACCGATAGTTGACGCTTTGTGTGAGGACCCAAACGGGGTCTGAAAGGAGGCCATTAACGACTTTTTAAATGAGTCAAGTTTCGTAGTGTGAAAGAGCGAACTTAAAGATCGGATTTAAACAATGAACCTTTTGTCTTGTTAAAAGATTTTAAATAATAGATAGAGTAAAGTCGAAGAAAACGAGGTTGGAGAAGAGTCGTGTTCCGACGCGACGTTGACCTCTCCCGCGCCCTTCCTGGGGTTTCGAATTGTCACCATGTGACGAGGAGAGACCAATGGAGAGGCGACCGTGGTGGAAAAATCGATAAAACCGCGTTTTCAGGAACTTTACGGGGTCTTGGGTTTTGGTGTGTAGTGCTCACCTGTCGGAATTTGGTGCTCCTGACCGAGACCCAACGAAGGCTCTTTCGACGACCTAGGAACTGGTTTCGCCAACCCGTCCAATCTAGAATCGCCGAGGTCACGTCCAGAATCGCAGAGGTTTGACTTGTCAACCGAGGACATCACTACAAGTGCTGGTGCGTGCCCCGGGGCCACCGTTCTCTGCGTCCACAGTGCCGAAAGCTGGACCAATCGAAGGATCAATCCAGGGACCAATCGAAAAATCGAACTTTCCGATTTTTGGGAACTGTTACAGAAACCCATCGTGGGATAGGCTCTTGCCCGACTTATTGGATTGTTGTAAGAACGATTTATGTATATTATTAAACGGTTTTATATGGTAAACCTGTCTCGGTGAGTCATTCCGCGCCCACACGACAGTATTGACCGCTGGCTGTCGAAAACACCTCACCCCTAATCGGCTGACCTCACATTTGCGTTAGTAACGCGACGTGTTTTGACTTGCACTGCGCGTGTTTTTGTTTATATCAATAGTTTAGTGTGACACGGAATAGCGTAGATTACGTTTGTATTTTCGGAGAGTGTTGAGTTAAATTAAAATAAAAACAATGTCGACTAAAAAGTTTAGTAGTGTAATATGGAAATATTTTACGATAGTAAATGAATTTTGCATGATAAAATTTTTGCAATGTGAATGTGCAAATATGTGATTTTAAGAAATAAAAAGTGATTTGAATTGAAGTCATTAGTATTTTATTGCTACCTATCTTAATGAATTTCATTACTTATATGAAATTTTAAAGATAAAAGATCCGCTAAAAAGTAACGGATACGAATACGGATCTTTTTTTCCCTCGGATATCCGCGGATACGGATACGGATATCCGGCACATCACTAGTAGCCACCGTTCGGTCATCTGGGGGTCTCAGGATCGAATCCGAACGGGTCGAAAAATCCCCAGGAAATTTTCGGGGGGTGGTCCATCCGGATATGTCTGGTCCGTCCCTCGCCACCCGGCCGCACCATTGTGGGCTTGGCCAAACCCGAAAAGGGCTTGCTAATAGAGATTCTCTTAGTGTCTACGGGCGGAAAGAGTTGAAAACAAAGCTCTCTTGGGATGCCGTCTTTGGAAGATCGCTCATGTGCGAGCTAACGAGGGCTTGCATGGGGTCCGAGTAGAGCGGACTTCTTTTGCCATTTCTGTATTGAATGAATGAAATAAGTAGAATAGTTCCTTATTAATAAAGAAAGGAAAAAAACAGCCTTAAAGATTTTATTTTCTGTTAGTAAAAATAACATTTATTTGTGGAAATAGAAAAACTGCGGTCTCTTAAATTTTTCTCCAAACGGGAAAAATCCCCAGCTCCTCGACCTAGCAATGTGTTATGTCGCTATATCCCATCAAATCATTCCAAACTGTAATGCAGATAACTGTTACGTTAATATTGCGATAAAAGTTTTAAATTAATTTCGAAATAACGTATTTTTGAACTAGTATAAATTTCATTTTTTAAAGACAGATTTCTTATTTATCAATTGAATTAGTCTAAATTTCTATTTAAAGATTTTAGTGAAGTATTGAAGTATATAGATTAAATATATAGCGTGCACTCAAAGGTTTCGCGAAGCCTTTGATATGTAATAGAATTACTAAGAAATTTTTGCAACCTTAATCATTAGCTAGAGTAGCTTTCTACGTGTAAACGCTTGCTAAAAATTAGTAATGGCTGAAAACGATTCTGTCGCAGAAACTGTACGAAGAGAATCAAAGTTAGACGCCGAATGCATTGAAAAATTCGATAAAACACCTGTAAATGAGGACGTTTCATCGAAAGACGAAGCGGAACAATCGGGAAAAGAAAATTTAGATTTGATAGAAAGCGACGATTCCATAAAAGATGATGATTCAACCGAATCCGTAAAAGATGAATCGAAAGAATCTGCAGCTTTTTCAAACGAGAATCAAGAAAATCTGCAAAACAAGATTCCTTATGACAGATCATATTCTAGTGAATTTATAGACTTTACAACTTTATCATATCCTGAAAATAAGTTAAAATTATTAGAAATAATTGGTGAGGGAACGACCTCGGTCGTATATTCAGCCGAAGTTACCGAAACAGGCAAGTTAATTTGGTTTTTGCTTTTCAGTAAATAATGAAAATCGAGCGTTTGAGTGATTTTATGAAGTTTTAGGTCGCAAAGTTGCAGTAAAAATCGTAAAAGATATAGACAAGCATATGTCTGAAATAGAAGCCGAATATCGCGTGTTTTCAATATGGGGCGACCACTTCTATTTACCAGATTTCTTCGGAATATTTTTAAATTTGGCAGACGAACCAAAAGATGACGAATTGTGGATTGTTATGGAGGTAAGCTCTATTACTATCAGCGGAAAAAAATTATATCTTTTTAAAACAATCAAATTTCCAGCTCTGCACGGGTGGAACGGTATCTCAATTAGTGAAATGTTTGAAATCCTATAATAAAACCTTAACCGAACTACAGATTGCTTATATACTGAAAGAAATAATTCAGGTAAGTTATTTTGTGAATTTCAATATTTTTTTAATAAAAATTAAAACACATCGCGCTTTCTGTTAGGCTGTTGCATCACTTCACGAAAATGACATTATTCATCGTGACATACGAGCTTCTAATCTATATCTGACTGAAACTGGCGATATTCGTTTAGGAGATTTCGGTAAAATTTTATTTATAAACTAAAAAAATTAAATAATATTAATCTGATATAATAAAACAGGAATCTCGTACCAAGCGGGATGCAGATATGATACGAAAGTTAGAATTGGTTCTCCTCACTGGATGGCACCGGAGGTAATTTATTCCGGATTTGAAATCTGGAAAAAAAAAAACAGTATTAATATAAATACATTTATTTTGTCAGGTTGTCACTTGCGGTAGAGATTATAAAGAATATGATAATCGATGTGATGTTTGGTCCCTCGGAATCTTAACTTTGGAATTGGCTTTTGGAGAACCACCCGCTGCCGAATACGATTCTTTAAGATACATGATTCAGACGGCCAGGTAAAAGTGATGATGATTTATTTAAAAGCGGTGCGTTATTTTGTTTAAAAATTAATTTCTGTTTTTCATACTTTTAGAAATCCTCCGCCATCACTGCCGTTGTTATATCATTATTCGGAACAATTTCGGGATTTTGTTTCTGAGTATGTTCATTTATTTTTTCTGTTATATAAAATCATTTTGTTATCTGAATAAAACATTGATGCAGTTTTTTAAAAATAAAACGTATATCGATTTTCGTAATTATGTAATAATATACGAGATATTTATTAATTCAATACTTTATTTACTCTTAAATGTTTTCTATAATGTAACTAAGATTATTCTAAATCTCTTCAATTTTTAAAATGTTCATATTTATAATATGCATATAATTCACGAAACTATATATATATTTTTTTATTCTGTTAGTAAGATCGCTGTAATTATCTTAAGGCACTTTTTTTAGTCTTTCCGCTCTGCGGGCGCTGAGAGCCTTTTGTCCAAGCTCATTTTGGGTTCGGCCATGCCCACAATGGAGTGGCGCCAGATGGTGAGGAACGGAGCAGACATATTCGAGGCAGAATTTTGCTTATTTAGGATGTGTCTGTCCACATCTACGATAGTTTTAACCAAATTAGATTAGGATTGACCAAGATTGCTCCGATTACACTATCTGTTTCTCTCTCTTTAATGCATTATGCATTGAAAAGATCATCCAAATGGTCTTTTCAATGCATAACACGATTCAAATTAGATATCTACCTAGGAAACTTGTGAACTGTATGTGAAAAATCACAAGCGTACAGATTGATTTTCTCATTATGGTAAGAAAATACTTTCAGCTGCCTTCGTTTGATTATCAGTAGAAGTAATGCTATGTTAATATATGGTACAACTTTTTCTGAGTACTATAGCAATAATAACCATAAGTGTGATTCGGATGTAACCTAATCTTCGAATCATACGTATGGTCCATGAAATCGTTCGATTGTTTAACATTGTCGAAAAAATTGCGACAAAAATTTGTTTTACACGCTAGAGTTCTAATTTATTACAGTATTTTAACAGTGTTTTATTTTAAAATTAAGTATTTTTTTTAATAAAATTAATGTTCGGGTCTGTACTATTATGACGTAATGGCATTGCGGTACATTCAACTTATACAGTATTTTCAAAGAGATGGAGTTATCTGTTTTTTACTGCTGTCTTCTTCACAGTCTGAAATAAATATAAACTATATCATTATACTGTACATTTTAATTTTATTTTAACTTTTTAACTTTCCAAATCCAAACCACGTGTGTCACAAGTCTTTGGTGTACAGTTTCCATATTCATCACCAATTAAAAAATATTTCAGAATTTTTTTTTATCTCTAAAATTAAAGAAGAGATAACTAACAATTCATGCACAATTGTTAATTGTTAATTACAATTGAAAACGGGAACAGTGGAACAGAACATTGATTTTAATTTAGAAAACTGCTTTCATATAAAGAAGAGTAGATTCGCGCCATCTATTGGCTATTTAATGAAATAGACTTTAAAATAAATTGAAATAGCTATTTATTACAGATACTACGAAGTGTGACGTAGTTGCTTTGTTTTCTTTTAATTATACGTATTTTGCGTTTCTTATTACAAGGCTATTCGGAAACTTCGAATAGTCGTAATCCAGGTATATCTGTATTATAAAGTTACATTGACCCGAGTGACTTGTTAACATATGTTTGAGTAGAGTAAACTACTTACAGAAAAATAAGAGTACATTTGAAAAGGGACGTGATGGGAAAGAATTCGATGGTAAGACAAAAGAAAATACTGTTATTTAAAATAACGAGATTTTCTTTTGTCTTACCATCGATTATTCTTTATTAACAGTTTAAAATACTTTAAAATACTAGTTATATTTATTCAATTAATATACCTATTATCATTTCAATAGTAGAGGAGAGTGGAGTAAAAGTTCACGGCGGGTAAAAGTGCGCACTGGGGATATGATTTGTTGTATAAATGTCAGATTGGCATTATTGAGTTATTTTATAAATTCTCTTTCTGAATTGTTGAAAACTTAATAATAACCGACTTGGCGTGAATAGTTTTGAAATCATGAAGGTAAGATTCATTTTTTATTTTTCTGATATAATATTTTGATTGTTTACATATTATATTTCATAATTATGTATAAACTTAAGTAAATCATTCCTTAGATATTTTGATAAATTCGTTTCTCGTATGTATTATTGGTGGACTAAACATTTGGAAATGTGTAGATGGCAGTACCTGTTTATGAAAAAAACGATGTTGCGGGGCAAAAATGCGCATGCGAACTTGTTTACAGATGAGGATTTTGCACCTTGTGTAGTAACAGATATGCACGTCGATAAGGAAACACAAATATCTGCAGTAGCAAATAGAGAGATCAATAAAGAAGCCACATTATCTTTTGTTCCATCTACTTCTGGATCAAACGATTCACCAGTCTTCCCTGCGGAAATCAGATCACTCCAAAAAAAGAAGGTTACACAACAAAGACGGAAGAAAGGGGAAAATCCGAAATAATAACAAGCTGGCCTTTTAAGAATAATTTAGAGTTATAAACAGAACATATCAAAGAAAACAGAAACAACAAAACCGGAAAAAATTACTCATAAATTACCTTACACGGATAATGGCATTCCTGATCCGTAAGAGGAGAGTTCAGACCACAGAGAGTTCTCTGCCAAGGATGTGAGAAGAATACGAAGAGGCTCCTTGTGAGGATTGGAGAATGTAAAAATTGTTTAATTGAAAAATTTTTTAAATTTAATTTAATGAAAAATTGTTATTTTTTATTAAATTCTGTTCATCAAAATACACACTTTGTAAAGCATTTCATAAAAACCTTGTCCTGCAAACTTTTACCCTACCATGTACTGTACGTATGCACTTTTGCCCCACCGGTGGGACAAAAGTGCTCTTAAGAACTTTTGAAAAAGTTTACTAAATGACATATATTCAAAATATCAATAAAAATCCCTACGGAATCTTAAAAAAGATAGTCTGAGGATTATTATGCGTATATTTCAAGATTCTCATTCTTCTAACAAGGAATTTATATTATATAAAAAACTAAGTGCATAGTAAGGTACGAGTGCCCGTTGTGGACCACCAAATTTCAATTTTTTTTTGTCAAGAAAAGACTGAGCTATCACCTAATCGAGGTGACAGCTTAGCATTTCTTGCGTAATTTGACATTATACACTATTACTGTATAATGTGATATGATAATATAAATTTACATTGGTCTCACTTTTTTCACTGAAACGAAATGTTTTAGTTGAACGACTTTATATAGAAAAATGAAATGACACAGTCGAAATAGGATATCGTGTAATCAAAAAGTCTGAAATTTCAGGCAACTGAACAAACTATTGATTTAAGCTCCATTCTTTTAGAGATCTTTGTCGTTATTAATTTATTTCGCATTGTTTGAAATTAGGCTATATTTTCTTTTGTTTTATCATTGATTATTATTATTTACAGTTATTTAAATAACGTATAAAACAAATATAAAGAATTGTTTTAAATTGCATCACCGATGTTGAAAACGTTGCATAGTCGTAAAAGTCAGGTGTGGAGCCCTTGTTATTTAAATATAACTACATTAAAATTAACTGACTTCAATTTAAAAAGTGGAAAAATCTTAAGTTTATTGGAAAATATACGTATAACACAAAATAAAACTTCCACTGTTTTAATATTTTTATAATAATAAAACAGTTGAAATTTTACTTTGCCTTCTATGTGTATTTTCCAATATATTCACTTTATTAAATGTTCNTTAGTTATAAAGTATTTCAATAATACACTATTCTTTATTTTGTCAACTTTTACTTTTCTGGCTATTATGTATACATAACAAGAGAAAGTACTGTAATCGTATTAAATTTGATCCTCAGAGATTTTTGCAAATCTCCATGTTTTGAGACCTCCTTAACCAAAAAATGTCAAAAAACGAAAACAAAAAATTCCATGGATATGTATGTACTGTACAGTACGTTTGTATGTATGTATGTATGTATGTGTGTGTGTGTGTGTTAATGTCTATTTTGTGTAATATCTCAGGATGGTGTAATGATTAAAAATCGAAATTCGGCATGGTAGCTTGTGTGTAAGGGTCGTTGACGCTATTAAATTTTAGTTAAAGGTCAAGGGGCGGAAAGATAGAAAGGAGTTATGTATCATATCTTAAGAGTGATCGGACTTATAGAGATTTTACTCATTATTAGCATTTACAATTTGTTTTTATAAAACTCATCTCTACCCTAAAAATTAAGCGTTTTGCCATTTTATAATAATTGATAGTACAGTATTAAAAGTTTTTTTAATAATAAAATCTCATAATAGATGGTGCCACAAACAATTTTACATATCTTCACGTTAGGGATCTCATCTCATTATTTATTACTAATATTTTTGTTCTATATCTGTATCTATAAAGTGTTTCTAAAGTAATTGGGCCGAGAACCTCAAAATTGCTTAAAACTACGAGAACCTCAAAATTGTATAAACTGTTGGATGCATAATAATTGGTTCCCACTGTGATCCACTGTGTGAAATCAGATGATGAGATGTCTACTGCTGAGGGAGATATGGTCTAGATTTGGTCTACATCTGGTCTAGATTTTCACAAATTTAAATGGAGATGACATCTGGTTTATATTTTCACAAATTCAAATGGATATTTGGGGAGACTGAAGAAATCCCGGACACTTGGTAAAGCCGGATATGAAATATTTTAAAAATATAAGGTTGACAACACTGTTATGTCGCGTCATGATTCTAATCAGCCACATAGTATTGACATGTATTGTTACGCTCGCGAGTTTTCGTCCATGTTTTGTGCAGTTGAAAACTTGTAAAATCAGCCAAAAAATCAACTTGTTTTTGGAAGATTTTTTATTTCAGGAAATGTTTATAATAAGTATCAGAGGAATACCGGACAATGCATAGTTGTGTACTTTTTTTTATATTTTTGGGGGAAAAACAAGTTAGATTTTTCGTCCTATGTCGTATGTAGCCAAAGATTGGATAGCAATTAATATAAAAAGTTCTAAGTTTAAGTGACGGGACTCATAATACAGATTTAAAAAATCCAGCAACGAGTTGTGTAACTTTTCC